GATTATCAATCAAAGGAATCTTATTGACAAGCACTTTTGTAAGTATATTTTTCATAATTTAATTTTCAAATCATGACAAGCATTTAACTTAATATGCCTGGTTGTGTTGAACAAAAGTGCTGAAATTTTAAAACACAAGACTTAAAATTAGACAGAAAATTGTAAAACACAAGACTTAAAAGGCCCGTTTGGGGGGGAAAATTGTGAAATGAACACTGAAGCTATCGAAACTTGGCACGGGTAGCTTGCTCAAGCCTAAATAGACTTGTAGGAACAAACAGGCCCTCGATTGGATTTCTGGTTAGAAAATTAGAAGGAAAATTGTAAAACACAAGACTTAAAAGGCCTATTCGGGGATGAAATTGTGAAATGTCCATCGAAACTGCCAAAACTTGGCATGAGCAACTTGCTCAAGCCTAAATAGACTTGTAGGAATAAATGGGACCTCGATTGGATTTATAGTTAGAAAATTACAAGGAAAATTGTAAAACACAAGACTTAAAAGGCCCGTTTGGGGGGCGAAATTGCTAAATGTCCACCAAAACTGCCAAAACTTGGCACGGGCAGCTTGCTTAGGCCTAAATAGACTTGTAGGAACAAAAGGGACCTTGATTGGATTTTCAATTAGAAAATTAGATGGAAAATTGTAAAACACAAGACTTAAAGGACTTGTTTGAGGGGCGAAATTGCAAAATGACCACCAAAACTGCCGAAAATTAGCACGGGCAGCTTGCTCAAGCCTAAATAGACTTGTAGGAACAAACAAGACCTCGATTGGATTTCCGGTTAGAAAATTAGAAAGAAAATTATAAAACACAAGACTTAAAAAGCCCGTTCAGAGTCCGAAATTGCGAAATGACACTACTACAAAAATAGTTAAAGATCACACTTTGACAAAAAAAAAAGATCTCACTTTTATTGGAAGTGTGATAAAAAAAATTAGATTGATATTTTAATCACACTTAATTTGATTGAGTGTGATAATATTTATTTTTTATGTCACTTTTCAATTAAGTGTGATTATATATATATATATTTATATTTTTAATCACACCTTCTAATTAAAGTGTGATTATATATATACTACTACTTTTTAATCACACTTTTTAAACAAGTGTGATTATATATATATATTTTTAATCACATATTCTAATTAAAGTGTGATTAATTATATATTTTTTAGTCACACCTTCTAATTAAAGTGTGATTATATATACACTACTACTTTTTAATCACACTTTTTAAACAAGTGTGATTATATATATATTTTTTAATCACACATTTTAATTAAAGTGTAATTATATATACATTACTACTTTTTAATCACACTCTCTAAATAGGTGTGATTGTATAAAATATTTCAATTTGATTTTTATATAAAATATACAATTCCCAAATCCGCGCCTCTATTCTACCCATGAATGATAGAGACGACTCACTACTAGAAAATGAGACGTTAGACACGGAACTTTTTCACCCATTTTTTCATCTTCTTATCTCTCTGTCACTGTCTCTCTTCTCTTTCTCTCTCACTCATCACTCTTCTCTGTCTGTCTGTCTCTCTCTTTCTCTCTGTCTCTGTCTCTCTTATTTTTCTCTCTCTCTCACTCATCACTCTTCTCTATCTGTTTGTCTGTCTCTCTGTCTCTCTCTCTTTCTCTCTTTCTCTCTTTCTCTCTGTGTCTCTCGTTTATCTCTCTTCTGTCTATCTCTCTCATCTCTCTTCTCTCTCTGTCTCTCTACTCTTTATCTCTCTCGCTTATCTTTCTCTGTCTCTCTCTCGTTTATCTATTTTCGCTATTTTTTTTCTCTCTCTCTTTGTCTATATCTTTTTACCCATTTTTTCATCTTCCTCTCTCTTCTCTTTCTCTCTCTCTCATTCATCACTCTTTTCTTTCTGTCTATCTATCTCTTTCTTTCTCTCTGTTGCTCTCACTCATCTATCTCTTCTCTCATCTCTTTTTTCTCCCTATCTCTTCACTCATCTCTCTTCTCTCTATCTCTCTCATCTTTCATCTCTCTCTGTCTTTCTCGCTCATCTCTCTTCTCTATCTCTCTCTCTGTCTCTCTCGTTCATCTCTCTTCTCTCTATGTCTCTCTCGCTCATCTCTCTTCTCTCTATCTCTCTCTCTGTCTCTTTCGTTCATCTCTTTTCTCTCCCTGTCTCTTTTTCTGTCTCCCACTTTCTATCTCTTTATCTTTTTGTCTCTCTCTCTCTCTCTCTCTCTCCCTCTGTGTTCGCGTTGCTCACTCTCTCTCTTCCGTCTTCTCTATTTACTAAGCTCCCTCTTGATTTATCTATCCACTACAAAAAAATGCACTTTTAGCGACCACTTTGTCTCTCTCTCGCTCATCACTCTGTCTTTGTCTCTCTCTCTCTCTCTTCTCTCTCTGTCTCTCACTCATCTCTCTTTCTCTCACCACCCATCTCCTTCACCATCTTCACCACTATTGCAAACGCCATTCCACTACCACTATTATTACCACTGTCACCACTTCACCTCTACGACTACCATTACTACTACCATTGCCACCACTACCATTACTGCCACTACTACTACCATTACCTCTCATTCACCCTTGCCACTTCATCTACTCTACCACTACCACAACTTCACCACTAATCTCCTTCACAACCACCACCACCACCACCGCTACCACCATCATCTCTTATCCACCACCTTCACCATTACTACCACTACTACTACCATTACCTCTCCTTCACCCTTGCCACTTCATCTACTCTACCACTACTACAACTTCACCATTAATCTCCTTCGCCGCCGCCACCACCACCACCACCATCTCTTATCCACCACCTTCACCATTACTGTGTGACAGAGATGCAGAGTTGGTTAGGAGGATTGGAGTTGCAACTGCTCTTGAAGTTAGGGCTCGTGGCGCTCAGTTTACTTTTGCTCCTTGTGTGGCTGTAAGTTCTCGTAATTTTTTATATTAGATTATTTGATCGGATTATTATCAGACCATTCTGTGTTCATTTTGGTTCAAATTGGTCATCCATGTATCAAAGATTTATGTAAATATGAATGAACTTTGTTTGTGGCATTACGTGTTTGATCAAACGCGAGAATGAACTTTGTTTTTTTCTTTCCCAAACAAAATATGAATCTTAAGCATTTTCAATGAAGTTGAGACTGAAAGATAGAAATGGACGGTAAGCTAAGTGGGCAACTGTTAGATTTCTTTGAGAAATAAATGCAGAGAAGTGGTTGTTTCTGTATAGCTTTAAAATGATCTTTAGCACGATACAGTCATATTTTGGGAAACGATCACTATGTTGGATAAATTTCATAATCTTAGCCGTAACCAGAAGTTCTTCATGATTACCCCCACCCCTCTATCCTTTTTTTTTTTTCTTTTTAATTTGAAGCCAACAAATCACAGAAGATAAGAAGACAAACTTGCCTGCCCACTTTTTACGAGATACCAAGTTTTATTTATTTCTTGTGTCATGGAAGGAAAATTATTAGGTTGTCCAGACTACCATGTGCCATTAGCCTATGTGTTTTTTCATTTTTTTTTCAACAGTATTGTGTTTTTTCATTTTTTTGGGTGGAAATTTTGTATGATGGTCATTTTAGCATATCTGACTTTTGTTTCTCATGTAGGTGGTTGGAACAATATGCATCCTCTTTACTCTACCCCCTGAACTTGCACCACTTCTGGGGCTACTTATGGTTATGGTGTCTGTTTTAGTTGGTAATTTTTTGTTTTTTGTTTTTTTTGATTGGAAACAAAAGAAATATTATTAGAAAGTAATAGTCTGTTCTGTAATTTGCCTTTGAATTTCATGTTGTTTTTCTTCACCATAACATGCAATAGAAAAATTGTCTATGGTTTTGTTTTCTCCTTTTTCATATTTTACAAATTCTTGGAAATCTTCAATTGTAGATTTATATGCATTAAGATGTTGGGTAATTGTCTAATTGATGATGTTTCTATTGATTGGGTAAACAAGTACAATAAGTTTGAAGCCTAAACAAAGCTGTGGGAAGGACAACAACTAAGGAGCCTTTTTGATATGACTCGTGCCCGTATTTATCTTGATTATAAGTTAGTATGATGTTGGTCACTAATAATTTTATTTTATTTTTGCCACTGAACCTGTAGAATCCTATAATGTGATGATCACATTATGATCTACACTGAAATCAAGGAGCTCCTCTAGCCCTAATATCTGTCTGGGAAGGCATTGATTCTCAAAGTGCTACATGGAGGACCTGGGGTAATGAGAGATAATTAATGAAGATCCAATTCTACAGTGTAGGTGAACACTGATAAACTTTAATATTACATCAGGTATCCAGGTACACGGCCAATGGCAGCGAATAGTCTACTTTGTTTCTGAACTTTAATCGATACTCTCTCTCTCTCTCTCTCTCTCTCTCTCTCTCTCTCTCTGTTGCTCGCGCGCTCTATTTCTTTCGAATTTTACTGCTTGTAGAGGCAATGTAATTTGGTAATTTGGATTCAGTTGAGCATTGTAGTATAACACTGAAATTTCTCTAAAACTTTTGGATTAATCTGTAATTCATCAACTTTTGGATTAATCTGTATATAATTAATTACATTTATAATTTGGTCGCACATCTCTCTTTGATTTAATCTGGAAGCACACTTCTACTTGAGGGGGGCTGAATTAAATTGGTTTACTTGTGCTTCACATGTAGAAGACAACACATTTTTGTTCTTTACTGTTACATGCCTATATTCTCGATTGTGCATGTCTGAATTGTCAGATGCTCTTTTCACTTTTTTGCCACCATTATAATTGTAATTTTGTATTGATTCAGCATTTCCTGTTGTAACTGGAATTATTAAACTAGTTTTGATAGCAGCTCTGTAATGTGATGAACACTTAATGATTAAATTCATGGATATTGCCTTGATTTTCTCTCATTCCAGGTAAAGAAAAAAATTTTAACACCTAAGAGTAAAGTCCCTGCCCAGAAGCTTATAAGCAACTCAGATTTTGTTGGTGACAATGAGGCAATTCCCTTGTAACTTCATTTTCTTTTGCTATTGATGCAGGTCAGATGTAGACGAAGGGGGTGAGACTATCAGCATCAATTACTCAATTGCTGTACTCAATCCTTTTCAGGTAGGTCTCCAATTGATACCCTTTTAGCATTTTCCCTGTCAAGATAATATTGTGTTGTCTTGTAGGTCTCCAATTGGTACACCCTTTTAGCATATCTTTCTTCAACAGTTGTTTCATAGAAGGTCTTATTAGGTAATGGAAACACAAACTTAATGCATTTACATAACAGACGGACCAGTTTTTCAGAAGTTTCATTCCATCGTTTTTCCTTTAAAATGTTTCCTTAAATTTCACTTGATTCCCTGTTGAATACACTTCATTTTCTATCATTTGTGAAAAATTCATGATTTGTGCATACAACAATGTAGAGTTCTGCATTCTGGCTTAATCTGATCAGGACATTGAGATGAGTTCTATGCATGAAATATGTCCAGAAAACTGGTGGAATAACCATTTGAGTTCTATGCATACAATGAACCATTTCTCATTTTATGTGTGAAGCTATTATTTTAGGGTGCTAAATGTTGGTCAACTTATGGTTACTTTCTAGTTCATTTCTGTGTAATTTGTTATGCAGGTTCATTAACTTAAAGGAGCACATAACAGGTTCCTTCACATATCATTTATTGTCCATTTGTATATTTTCTATGCTGTTAATTTATGCCTAATCTTTGGGATATTATCATATTTTTACTTGCTGATTTTATGATCTTTGATCTCATAAATGTTTGGCCTATAAAGCGTAATTTTCTTGATGATAAAGGTTAGGACAAAATATTTGATAGCTGTTTTTAGAAAACCTCGGCAATTGATTATAGAGTGAGATTAGCATTTTACCTCTTAGGAGTGCATTAAACCTTCTTTATCTTATTATGGATGTTGTCTGGACATAATTTCTGTATCCTTTCCACATTATTAATTTGTTCTTGATGTAACTTGGCTGTTGATACTCATATGATTGGCAAAATGCACTATTAATTAGTTATAATTGTTTTTTCTCCTAGGCAAAAGCAGTATTAATTTTAATCATTGATGTGATCAACAAGTGGGAAATAAATTCCAATATTCTAGTTGGTTGAATCACTTCAGATATATCAAGTATACATAATTACATTTTCTGGTCCAAGTCTTTGGCTGTTATTTTTTTTTATTTATTTATTGTTTCTTTCATCCCAACTTGAATATAGTTCTAAAGTAGAAGAGTTCTATTGCAAGGGCCACTTTCTGGTTGCTGTTCTATTGCAAGAGCTCTCTCTTCCTCACATAGACACAACTATGCACAAGCACATTTTGTTGGCAACTGCCTCTGTTTTTTTTTTTTTTTGAAGATGGGAATCTGCTCTAAGTTTGAGCTGCAAAAACAGTGTCACCACACAGCATTTTGTTTAGATACTTCCCTGACCAATTTCCTTTTTTCATAATCTGTGTGAAGATTTATAATATCATATCTCCTACATTACTACTAATTAGATTCCATGACATTTGCAATTGCAACAAGATGGCCATCAATGTTGTGTTTGTTATTAATCTCTTGTGGTTTTGACCTTTTGGTAATTTATCAATCATAGCTTTAAGCAGTCTGTCATTGCATCAGGTTATTGATGTGGGTGGTAAGGACTTCAGGTTGGGAGACCTCTGTGATATATATGAAGAACGTCAAAGTGGTGAATGTGAATCTGATTCATAATAGCACAAGCACATTTTGTTGACAACTATTAATTAGTTTATTTATTTTTTTTTTTTTTGAAGATGGGAATCTGCTCTAAGTTTGAGCTGCAAAAACAGTGTCACCACACAGCATTTTGTTTAGATACTTCCCTGACCAATTTCCTTTTTTCATAATCTGTGTGAAGATTTATAATATCATATCTCCTACATTACTACTAATTAGATTCCATGACATTTGCAATTGCAACAAAATGGCCATCAATGTTGTGTTTGTTATTTATCTCTTGTGGTTTTGACCTTTTGGTAATTTATCAATCATAGCTTTAAGCAGTCTGTCATTGCATCAGGTTATTGATGTGGGTGGTAAGGACTTCAGGTTGGGAGACCTCTAATGTCAAAGTGGTGAATGTGCAGCGTGTTGAATCAGGGTGTGCCTGGCGCAAGCTGAATGTGCAGCGTGTCTTGGATGAATCGACTAAAAACCACGTTAAAATGCGGTCAAAGGAAGCTGAAAAGAAGCTAAAACCACGAAAGTATGTTGTGGATTTGATTTGCATAATCTCTTCTTCATAATTAATTGGTGGATTAAACATGCTTATATCTCTCTCTCTCTGTCTCAAACACTAATTTTATGCTTTTGCATCTATATCCATTAATAATTTTTTGATATGTATGTGCTGCATAAAGGCTTTATGTTTTGCTATCCACATGCCTGAGTAAGATGTAGTTTAATGGGCATATGCAGGAATTTTACCTGTTGAGATTTTGCCTTCTGGTTAATGTTTCATTCTCGCTCTTTCCAAAGAATTTTATACACTTTATCCTTTTTTTCTGTTACCAAGATTTTATTTAACTCAAAAGCTCTAATTAATGTTATTGGCACATTTGTGGTTTCTTTTCCTTTGAAACTTTGTTTAAAGTTATATATGACCAGAACCTGTATAAGTGTACAATGTAAATTTTCAGAGTAGAGTTCTGTTGAATACTTGGTTATTTTTATAAAGGTCATCCATATTTTGCATCCTTGGTGTTAATGTAAAGGTGGTTTCTCTCTTTACAATGTAATCCATGACAAACTAATTCACGAGATCACTCAAGTCATCATGCAGAGGATTTATTACCTTGAAACAATGCAGACTAAGTTAGAGAATGAATTATTATTTTTAGAACATTGCTTATGAAATACACATGCTTAAATGGCTTGTGTGTTTGCAGCTGCCATCTGTGTTTCTAAGTTAAATTTTTATGCTTCCAAAATGATTAAGATCAAGCAGAAATGATTAATGTTCTTATTTTGGTTTGCTGAATTAACTTTTTAGTTTATTCATATGCATCAGCGGTTTCTGAATTAATTTGTGTTTTCATTTTTCAGGTCAGAAATTTTTTGGAGAGATGCAAAATATGGTCCAAGAATTAAAGAACTTAGTTTTTTAAGTTTTTTCATTTTTTAATATATGTAAGCACAGATAATTTTTTTTATTTAATTCCTTTACATATAGTTTTGAATATTTAATTTCCATTTATAAAATATATGACGTTATTCTATTCAATATGTGGTTATGATTCAAAATATAGTATATAGTGTGTATTACATTATTCAAATGTGCATATAAAAATAATATTGATTATTTTTCAAATATGTAGCACCTTTTTTTTTATCACAGATTTTATTAGTTATTAATCACACTTAAAAGATGTGATCTAAATATTATTAATCACACTTAAAAGGTGTGATGAAAGCATTTTTTAATGACACTTAAAAAGTGTGATTAAAAATGACCATTTTTAATCACACTCCTAAAGACCACACTTTAATAAAACTTAAAGGTGTGATTAAAAAACATACATCACACCAAAAAAGTGTGATCTTTATCTATATTTGTAGTAGTGTGACCACCGAAACTGCCAAAACTTAACACGGGCAACTTGCTCAAGCCTAAATAGACTTGTAGGAACAAACAGGACCTCGATTGGATTTTCGTTTAGAAAATTAGAAGGAAAATTGTAAAACACAAGACTTAAAAGGCCCGTTTGGGGGGGTGAAATTGTGAAATATCCACTGAAATTGCTGAAAATTGGCACGGGCAGCTTGCTCAAGCCTAAATAGACTTTGTAGAAACAAACGGGACCTCGATTGGATTTTCGGTTAGAAAATTAGAAGGAAAATTGTAAAACACAAGACTTAAAAGGCCTGTTCGTGGGGCGAAATTGCGAAATGACCACCAAAACTGCCGTTGGCACGAGCAACTTGCTCAAGCCTAAATAGACTTGTAGGAACAAACAAGACCTCGATTGGATTTCTGGTTAGAAAATTAGAAGGAAAATTGTAAAACACAAGACTTAAAAGGCCCGTTTGGGGGGCCGAAATTACGAAATGACCACCGAAACCGCCGAAACTTAGCACGGGCAGCTTGCTTAAGCCTAAATAGACTTGTAGAAACAAACGAGATCTCGATTGGATTTTCGTTTAGAAAATTAGAAGGAAAATTGTAAAACACAAGACTTAAAAGGCCCGTTTGGGGGGCAAAATTGTGAAATGACCACCGAAATCGCCAAAACTTAGCACAGGTAGCTTGCTTAAGACTAAATAAACTTGTATGAGCAAAACGGCACCCCGATTGGACTTTCCGTTACAAAATTAAAATCAAAATTGTGAAATTCATACCGAATTTTTTTTTTCCCTTGTCAATCTAATATTGTTTTTTCTTTTTCATGTGACAAATTGATAATGGTGGAAAATAGTTCGAGCTGCATCAAAAGATTTGATTTTGTATTTTTGGAAATATTTTGACATAGGATTTTGGTAAATGACTTATGGGTTAGATGTTTAGCATCAAAATATTTGGTTTTGTGTTTTTGCAAATATATATTTTGACATAGGATTTTGGTAAATGACTTGTGGGTTAGATGTTTAGCATGAAAATATTTGGTTTTGTGTTTTTGAAAATATTTTGACATAGGATTTGGTAATGAATTTGTGGGTTTGATGTTAGTAGTTTGTAAGTACTTTGGTATGAATGTTTCAAATTGATAGAGAATTATAATTATGTTTATTGGGATGTTTAATAACTATTAATTTTGAATTATTATGAATGTCTTGCACATGTGTATTACTATTTACATTGCATTTGTGTATATATTATGTATAGAAAAATAGGTGTTTTGAATTATTTTGAATAGGGAAATTATTAAAATCCAAATTTGTGTCATGAATTTTTAGTGACAAGTGATATTTTGGTCGTTGTTAATATATTTGGCGACAACATATTGTTTTGTCGCTAAACATTAGTTGCTATTCCAAGAACTTTTAGCAACCAAAACTTAGTCGTTGCTGAAAAGTTGATTTTTAGCGACCAAATTAATTTTGTCGCTAAATAGTACCTTTGGCGACGAATTTATTTGTTGCTAAAACTACATAGCCTATCCAAATCTTAACCTTTTAGCGATAAATTAGAATTTTACAGTGAGAAAATATATGATTTTTGGCGACCAATTTTGCTTGTCGCTAAATGTCTACATATGATGACAATTTATTTTTTGGTCGCCAATACTTTTGGTGATAGGCCTTTGGAGACCAATTGGGTACTTGTCGGCGATTCTTTTGGCGATGAAATTTGTACTTTTGGTGACCAATTTTTTGGTCCCCAAATGTGCTTTTGGTTGTAGTGAATGTGATTGTAGTTAGATAAACATGAACAGTTACAAAGATAGCATGACAACTGTAAAATAACCAAATTTAAACCCAAATACTCAACCATTCTTTCCAAGTGTTCGGCATATTTACACCAAAAAATAAAAAATAAAAATTGTGACTTGTAGGTTTTATACAATGTGCTGCCTAACAAAAAAAACAAAACACAAAACAAAACAATAAAAAAGAGAGGGATGTGCTTGTGTGCGGCTAGCCGCGAGAGAGAGAGAGAGAGAGAGAGAGAGAGAGATGGCAGAAGAGATGAGGAAAAAAAAGGGTTAGAGTTTTATTTTGGGGGTTTTGTTAATTCTTCAAGTAACTCGTTGATCTTCGAAAAATAATAGTGAGTGCAAAACCTACTTTCCTTGCTTTATGTTTATGTTGTTATTATTTGTTTGTTGTTGGTTTGATATTGTATTTGCATGAAATGATGGATTGATTTTAATTATTTTGGTTAGTTGTGTATGCGAAGTTTAGGATTTTTATATATATTTATTTTATGACTGTAATTACACTCATGGGTATATGAAATTAAAATAAATTAGGAACCCATAGATAAATTTCGAATACTCCACCATGACTCCATAGATTGTTGTTTTATTTGAGTGTTGGTGAGAAAGAGTATAAAAAAAGTGAGGATTATGAGACTGATTTAAATGCTTTAGGCGCGACATTGTTATGTTTGTTCTCATGAGTATATGATGGGTTGTGTATATATATATATATTGTTTCCTCGTTCTCAAGAGTAGACGACTGCTTTGGTTGATGGGCATATGTATATACTAACCGTCCGAGGAGTGTGGGTCAAAATCGAGACAATATCCCTGTGCAAGTTTGGCTTCAGAGCGGTGTTAGGTATACAAAAGGCATATGAGATGTATGTGTAGGCCGGAAGTGAAGGGCCGAAATGGTAGAGTTAAGGTACAAAGATTAAATATGAACTTATTGGTATAGTTTGAATTGTATAAATTTGTACATATTGAAAAACAATAAGTGAGAGGGCAATTTATGTGCAAATTAGGCCGAGCTACGACCATATGTTGAAGTGGACCGAGATAAGTACACTCTCCTGGTCATTGGGCCACGCTGTGAGCGGAAATGGGAATGGAGTAAGCTCGGTCCTAGACTGGGCGGTTATTCGACCCAATGCTTGAGTCGAGGTGGTTATAATTGCTCAAAGAAGGATCGGGGTGCGATGGTGACGGGGTACCGAACTGTTTATCTCGGTCGAATACCGTGGTTTTTTCTGGCGTAGTGCAAGGCCATGCTAGCTCGATTGAGTTGATATTAAGCCGAGGTAAGGAGGTTTGAGCCATCTCACTTGGTTGGTAGTGAGTAGGGTGTTATAAGGATAGGTATTATCCTTGAGAGTGTGATTCCTAGGAAAACTCTTATAAGAAGAGTTGGAGTCCTACTAGGATTGTGCCAGGTAGAATTTACAAAAGCTCATGATAGGACCTATGTACAGGTATCACAATTTCTACTCTCAAATACACAACTTTTTGTACATTGGCTGACTTAGGCATTGGAGAGGTATTCGGCA